CGCGGTTCAGTTTGTTCAACCATCAACCATGCAGTCTGGTTTCAGACTGTATGCCAAACAAATCACGGTATAACGAAGAAAAATTGCCGTGATTTGCTAGTGAACGCAATACTGCTAGATGGCCCAGGTCAAAGCAGGTGGATTTTCTTGGAACATTCAGAAACGTTGAATAACCAAAACCTGACCGGCTAGACAGCGGGTTTTGAGCATGCCTAACGGTTGCCTACCGGAATCCGCCTTATTAACTGTTACCATCTCTGGTTGAAGGAAATCACTTGGAGATCAACAGATGACTTCAGGACTATAGTCCTGAAGTCATCCGTTGAAAAGTGCACAGCGATTAAACAGAGTAGGTCTCCCGTTTTCCGGGTTGAGGTTCAAAAGACTAACTGGCTGATGGGAAACATCCAAGGTCATGGAAAATCACCGACAGTAGTGGAGTTCTAAATGTTTCAAAAGGCGTGTATGCATAGTTAGATTGTGACCATAGGGGTCACTTTCTTTGCATCTTCATCAAGACATGCACACACGGGTTGTGACTGATCACCCTTCCCTTACACCTTGCGAAATGCTTCTATACGACCAAGAGTCACAAACAGCCTCCGCTGAAAAAGCCCTACTCACCGCCTTTTCGTGACTTCAGGTTCGCATCAATCTGACAAAAAGAAGTAATAACTGCAAAATGAGCAGCTGGAAATGTGCGGCTGAGAGCTTATTTCAACTTTTTCAGCACACCGTTCAGATAGACAATGAATCCAGTAACAGACATGGTGTTAAACGCCTCTTGACATAAACAAGATAACAGTGGCGAATTAGAATTACGCACAAAAGAAAGCTTACAAGGTTGAGATAAAGCATCTAAGCGACGGAAGCGTCGCTTACTTACTGGGAATATCCCAAAGGAACACATTCTAGCTGTCCTGATAACACCTATGCTGCTGGTTCCGTGAATCTCTCTAAGTTGCAGAGAGCAAAAATGATCAACAACCTCGCCAAAAGGTGAAACTTCTGTTTCCTTTTCATACCGCACGGTGAAATATAACGCTTATTTCTAGCACTTGGAGTTATTCGGGAGTCACAAAAATCGGCTTACCTTACAGAGGAAAATATTCGGCAACTAAGGCATAGATAAAACTAAACTAACCATACAGTGGGAAGACCGGGGACTGAGGGCCGTTCAGCCGCGAGAAGTTCGGAATGTAACTTCTGTTATCCCGGGCGGGTGCAGTAGGAACAGACACCACCGGTGGAAAAACAGCTGTGTCGCGGAAAGCGGAAGAAACAGGTAACACACCGGTGACATCTAACGGGAGTTTGTCATTCAACCCACGAAGAAGAGCACGAAGCTTGTCTGTGGCCCGAATAAGACGCAATGAATTGGCGACGGCAGCTGCTGTGATAGAGACAGTCGGATTGAATGAAAGAATCGCATCCATACGGTCCGGGGTGATTTGGTCCCATGCTCGATTCGCAAAAGAACCGCGTGTCAGCTTAAAGCGGCTGGATGAAAAAAACTGGACGGTAAGCTTCGATTTTTCAATGGGCACAATAAATCAGTGGTTCATTTGAGATACAATAAATTATGAGGCCAAGAAAAATCTCAGACAAATAAACAGCTCGCCGTATTAAAATCATTTAGCTGCTATAAGACCTTGTTTTTTTCAAGACAGAAACCGATAAGGATCTGAAACTTACAAGAAAGTGATGACTAACGAACATAAGGTCTCGATTTCTGTGAAAAATCGAATGCCTCTAACGAAAGTATTTGTTCCGTGGGCTCTACTCATAAGAACCCTAGTATTTTACGATTGTTGTACCTGTTTTGCTTCGATCTCGACGCTGAGCCCTGGTGACCAACTAAATGACCCGTATGTCTCTCTTCACAAATTCACCCAGCTTGAGCATACTTGTTTTGAAGTGAGAAAAAAACAGAAGAAAAAGACTCTTGAAGCCTCAGTATGGTCCGGAGTGGGTGTCTTGGATTGCGGCTGGACACCCTTCCATTGCACCTAGCGAAATGCCCCCACATGACCAATCGTCTCGAATAGCCTCTGCTGAGGAAGCCCTACCTTCTTGTGGCGGAGGTGATTTCACACCAAAGGCCGACATCCGGGGCTATAACCGAGTTGGTGGACCACTGGTAGTTCACCTAGGGGAGTTGGCCGAAAAACCCTGATTCCAAACCAACCAAGAGGCGTACGAAACACGTCCACACCTTCCGGCTTNTGGGCGCCTTGGACGTTTGACCCCATCCAAAGGGCGTCTGATAAGATAAACTGGACACCAGCCCCCAATGGAGCGCGGTTTTCGCACACCGCTCCGCTGCCTTGTGGATCAGGCTTTGGCTATTCAAAGGCTCCGACTGTGGGTAAACCAAGAAAATTCACCGGCCTTGGACTGGGCAACCTGGCAGTATTCTGCCCATATGCATGCATGCACGTATATATATATATATATATATATATATATATATATGACAGTTTTGTAAAC